ACGTGAGGGGCATGCTATCAGATACAACAAATTCAGTTCTCTCATTTTCTGCATTTTCTATCTTCCCTCTCAAGTCTCTCTCCCCTCTTTCCCTTTCTGCTAACTCCCTCTTCATTTCTTGCTGAAGCAGCCATTACAAGTGGTATCAGAGCTTCCGGTCCTTGGACTAAGAAGCTGAAATCAATATAACAATGGCAGATGAAACTCGAATGAAGACCATGGAGGAACAGCTACGCAAGCAAGACAGCAGACTCCAAGGAATTTTGGAATCCATGGCCGCAAACAAACAGATCATGGAGGAAAGGTTGGATGCAGTAAGCATGGAGCTGAACAATAAGTTAGATGCATTCATGGTAGCCATTTCTCAACAGCTCTCCAGTTTGAACCGAGGAAATCCTGAGAAAGGAATATTGGGATCGCCAGAGGGAAGTCACTCCAGGAGCTCAGATATGGTGACTCGAGAGCAAGGAGAGAGGAATGTCAGAAGTTCATTCTACGCTAGTGCACCTAAGCTGGAAATACCAGTGTTCAGAGGAAACAATCCTAGGAAGTAGATCAGAAAACTTCAGAAGTATTTCCAGCTTCTGCATATTCCTATGGAGCAATGGATGGAGCTGACAGAATTCCATTTAGAAGGTAAAGCTGAAGTGTGGTATCAGGGATTCAAGTCTACTAGGGGTAACAAGATGGATTGGATGGAGTTCTCTGGAGAGTTGTGCAAGCGGTTTGGAACATTGGGACAAATGGATCCAATGGAGGAATTCAATAAGTTACAACTCTCCTCCACAGTCCTAGCCTACCAAGAAAAATTTGAGGAACTACTATCAGAGGTAATGATTCGAGCCCCACACCTTCCAGAAAACTATTACATTTCATGTTTTTTGAGTAGACTACTAGATGAATTGAGATCAATGGTGAAGACTCATGACCCCAAGACATTATCCAAAGCATTTGAGTTGGCCAGGTTGCAAGAGAATGCCTTTGAAGCCTACCACAAGAAGCACAAACATCATCCGAAATCCCTCTCTTTGGGGAATACTCCACAGTCTGTTGCGCAGTACACCATTCCACATACCAAACCTATTATTGCCAATGTTGTAAAGAAACAGACTCCTCAGAACTTCAAGAAAATCACACCAGTAGAGCTGCAGTACAGGAGGGAGCACCATCTTTGCTATAGGTGTGGGGAAAAGTTCGGACCAGGCCACCAATGCAAGCAAAAGGAAATCCACCTGATTGTAGCAGTAGAAGATAGTCCTGAGGATCTGGTAGAAGGGGAGATGATCGAGTACCAAGGAGCACAGTCGGCCAAGGGGGTAGAAATGGAGATACATGCGCTGACTGGGAAGATGACTTACAACACCATCAAGCTACAGGGGAGGATCAAAGAAACTCCACTATCAATCCTGGTGGATGGGGGAAGCACTCAATTTTATCAAAGGGGCAGTGGCACAACTCTATCCAGAACTGGTCCAATCTATCAAGCCTTTCAGGGTCAGGATGGCTAATGGGGAGCACTTGACTTGTCACAAGATGATTCCGAATATGAGCAGGGAAATGCAAGGTAAACAGTTCACTCATGATATGTTTGTCATTAACTTGGAGCCATATGATGTGATTATAGGAGTAGACTGGATGGCTGCACACAGCCCCATCACCTTTGACTTTAGGCAGCCGAACATGTCCTTTGATGAGAAAGGGGAGAGGATCTTGTTACATGGAGAGTCTAAGGAGACTGTTCTCAAACTTCCTAGTAATAGTACTGAGAAGGAGGGGTTGAGCACCAGAATCTGGAAACACGCGTGCAGACTGAAAATGAAGGGAACTCAGGTAAACACTGTAACTCATCTAGACATTGGTTTTCAACAGTCCCTAAGTGCTTTACTTGAAGACTACAAAGATGTATTTGGAGAACCACAATCCCTTCCCCCTTCCAAAAACTATGACCATCAAATTCCCTTAGTGCCAAATGCCAAACCATTCAAGCTAGCATCTTATAGGTACCCTCACAACCAAAAAAATGAAATAGAAAGGCAAGTGAAGGACATGCTCAGTAGTGGCATTATTCAGTTTAGCCATAGCCCGTTTGCCTCTCCAGTTCTATTAGTTAAAAAAAGATGGAACTTGGAGATTTTGTGTTGATTACAGACAACTAAATGACCTGACTATCAAAGATAAATTTTCAATACCTATCATTGATGATTTACTCGATGAACTGTTTGGAGCTAAGATCTTCTCCAAGATTGATTTAAGGGCTGGATACCATCAGATCAGAATGCTCCAGACTAACATCCCAAAATCTGCCTTCAAAACTTACCTAGGATTGTATGAGTTCACTGTTATGCCATTTGGTCTTACCAATGCACCTGTAACATTTCAAAGCCTGATGAACCATGTTTTTGAACCTTACCTGAGGAAGTTTGTGTTAGTTTTCTTTGATGACATCCTCATATACAGTTCAGATCCAGACACTCACCTTTTGCACCTCAAAACTTTCCTAGAAACACTCAAAGCTCACTCCCTATTTGCCAAGCTTTCCAAATGCATCTTTGGACAGTCTCAACTAGAATATTTGGGGCATATTATCAGTGGAGATGGAATGCAGGCAGATCCCTCAAAAATCAAGAGCATGGTAGAATGGCCTACCCCTACATCACTAAAGGCATTGAGAGGATTTTTGGGACTCACAGGGTACTACAGGAGGTTTGTGAGGGGATATGGACTCATTGCCAAACCACTCACTGAGTTATTGAAGAAAGAAAACTTCCACTGGAATGAACAAGCTGAGCTAGCCTTTCAAAAACTGAAGTAGCTGATGAGTAGCACACCAGTCCTAACACTTCCTAACTTTTCTTTACCTTTTTCTCTAGAAACATATGCTAGTCAGAAGGCTATTGGTGCAGTCCTAATGCAACAAGAGAGGCCTATTGCCTATCTCAGTCAAGCTCTGGGACCTAAGAATTTGGGACTGTCCATATACGAAAAAGAGTTGTTGTCCCTTATTACAGCTGTGTCCAAGTGGAGGCATTACCTGTTGGGAAGCCACTTCATCATCAAGACAGATCACCAGAGCTTAAAGTACCTATTGGAACAGAAGATAACTACTCCCCTACAATAGAAATGGCTCACTAAGTTATTGGGCCTAGATTATGAAATATAGTACAAGAAAGGAAATGAAAACCTGGTGGCTGATGCACTGTCTAGAAGATGCTATGAAGAGGACAGCTTTACACATAGCATCTCAGTCATGAAACCGGCATGGCTGTCTGAAGTCCTAGAGAGTTACCAAGGGGATGGTTCTATGACTAAGTTGACTGAAGGCCTGACTACTTCACCTGATTCTCTCCCAAATTATTCTTTTGCTGGGAATTTACTCAGGTATAAAGGCAGGATGTACGTTGGTTCCTCAGGGAACTTGAGACAGAAACTGATAGCCTGCTTTCATGACTCTCTCATTGGGGGTCATTCAGGCAACCTGGGGACCTACCAAAGATTAAAGGGACCATTCTTCTGGCCAGGAATGAAAAGAGAAGTAGAACAATGGGTACAACAGTGTGATGTTTGCAAGAGGAGCAAGGTAGAAAATTGCAAGACACCAGGACTGCTACAATCTCTACCTATTCCTGAACAAGCATGGCAGCATATTTCAATGGATTTCATTGAGGGGTTACCTAAATCTCAGGGGTATGAGGGAATGCTAGTTGTCATTGATAGGTTCACCAAGTACTTTCACCTCCTAGCATTACCATCGAAGTATACTGCACAGTCGGTGGCTAACATGTATTTTGAAAACATCTATAAGCTACATGGATTACCCCTGAGCATTGTATCTGATAGGGATAGGCTATTTACCAGCTTGTTCTGGCAGGAGTTGTTTGGGAAGTTAGGCACGGAGCTGCACTACTCTATTGCTTACCATCCCCAAACAGATGGACAGACAAAAAGGTTGAACAGATGTGTGGAGACAAATTTGAGGTGCCTGTGTTTCCAGCAACCCCATAAATGGAAGTCCTTGCTAGCTGCTGCTGAATGGTGGTACAACACCAACCATCACACAGCCTTAAAAATGACTCCCTTCGAGGCTCTGTATGGATATCCACCATCTCAACTAGGCATCAATGCCTTGGGGACTCCAGTAGCGGCTGTGGAGCAATGGCTAGGGGACAGAAGAAAATGGAACGAGCTGCTGAAGGGGAATTTAATCAAAGCACAAAATCGAATGAAACAGTTTGCGGACAAGGACAGGAGTGAAAGGAGTTTCCAAGTGGGAGATTGGGTCTATTTGAAACTGCAACCTTATAGACAATCGTCTGTGGCAGTCAAAAAGAATCTGAAATTGTCTTCAAAATATTATGGACCCTACAAAGTTCTTTAGAAGGTGGGAAATGCAGCCTATAGGTTGGAATTACCTGCTGGCTCCTTGATTCACCCTACCTTCCATGTCTCCTTACTCAAGCCCTCAGCCAAGAATCATGTAGTTACTCAAGAACTACCTTTGACTACTACGGATGGACAGGTTAAAATTGCCCTTGAAAGTGTTATTGCTACTCGTGAAATCATGAGGAAAAGACACAAGGTAACTCAAGTGTTGATCAAATGGTTGAACCTAGGCACTGAAGACTCAACTTGGGAGGATATCACAGTGATACAATCACAATTTCCAGATTTCCAACTCAATCCTAGTGACTAGGATTCTTGAGGGGGAGGTATTGTAATGATCCTAGATATTCTGGATATTTCCTCTAGATATTTTAGATATTCCCTAGTTATTTATAGCTAATAATGTAGTGGCCATGGTTTCCATTTCTGGAAGTCAGTTAGCATATCAGAGAGTTAGTTGGCTAGTTAGTTACTGCACTGCATGCATGCATGCGTGATCGTTCTGTTAAGCATTCTGTTATAGCTAAGGCATGGAAGGATCTAGAGGATGAATCCTGTATGAATAAGCCTAAAGGTAAGACGTGAGGGGCATGCTATCAGATACAACAAATTCAGTTCTCTCATTTTCCGCATTTTCTATCTTCCCTCTCAAGTCTCTCTCCCATCTTTCCCTTTCTGCTAACTCCCTCTTCATTTCTTGCTGAAGCAGCCATTACATCATCCAGCACGATTTGTTTAACAAAGTAATCTGCACCAATGTCAAAAAATACATTGAATATGTCACAGATATATTTGATTTGAAAAATATTAGATTTAATAGAGTTACAAAATATATATAAAAGATTACACTGTAATCACAAATCATCAAATCTAACCCAATTGATTACTTTTTAATACACACACACACACACATTATATTCACTTTATTTTGTGCACAAATGGACTAGTTCTTTTTGGATGGCTGCTACCGGCATGCTACAGAATTCCTATCCAACCATCCCTTTCATGAGTAAAGGCTAAATTGCAACGAAATCTAAATCCTTTCAAAAGTCTTGGCGTCTTTATGAATTATTTGTAATCGTTATTAAGGTTTGAAAGGACGTATAATGCCATATTAGATTCTATCTTTTTCCCCCACCATAAATGCCTTTTGGAATATAAAGTTTACTCCATTTTAGTCCTTTTGGATTAATAGCCTCTGTCGTTAATGAGTATTATCCAGCTGTTGAGCCTTTCATATGTTCATATCTTGAATTGACTTATTTTTTTTTGTTCTAAACAATAAATTGGAAAAATAAATAATACTAAAGAGATGAAGAAAGTCAATAATTATTCTGTCAAAATTACTTATTCTCGCGTTGATTGGATCATGAAGCATTTCATGATTACTTTTGGTATCTGAAGTTTGTGGTAAATTACGTTTCATTGTGTGGTTATTCTTGAATCACTCTCTCTGATAGTGTGACGAAGGTAGTCCACTGTTGACTGTGCAAACGAGCACTTGGAACGTTTTACAAACAACTTATGTTCCCTCAATACTGTCAAGACTATCCTCAGATGTTGCTGGTGTAGCTCTAATGTAGGACTATAGATTAGGATATCATCAAAAAAAACTAGAACAAATTTTCTCAGGTAAGGCTGGAATATCTGATTCATGAGGGACTGAAATGTGGCTGGAGCGTTTCTTAACACAAAAGGCATTACCAAGAACTCATAGTGGCCACAGTGTGTTTGAAATGCAGTTTTGTATGTATCCTTAGGCTTGACCCTGATTTGGTGGTAGCCTGAAGTGAGGTCCAACTTTGATTTGTATTTGGATCCTGCTAGCTCATTGATCAGTTCGTCTACATTAGGTATGGGGTACCTGTCCTTGATGGTCATCTCGTTCAGTCTCCTGTAGTCTACACAAAAATGCCAGGTCCCTTCCTTCTTCTTGACAAGCAGAACTGGGGAGGCAAAAGGATTGTTACTGTGCACTATGATTCCATGCTGCAACATATCCTTAACCTGTTGTTCAATTTCCCTCTTTTGGGAGTGAGGGTATCTGTACGGCTTCATCTTGAAGGGTTGAACCTCAGGTTTTAGTGGTATCTCATGATCTATACTTCTTGCTGGTGGTAACTCAGAGGGTGCTACAAACACATCTGTAAATTCTTCAATGATGCCCTGGACTCCTGCAGGAATGTCATTTCCCTGCATCAGATCACCCTGTCCCAATCTCATGGACATGCACAACTGTCTCTTGTATTCAATGAATGTCCTCAGGTCGCCTCCTCTGATTAGATCTAAGTCACAGTCTTCAGCTTGGCCATGCAAGTGCACTGCTTCCCCTTGATCTTGCAAGAAGATAGTCAGCTTGTGGAAATCAAAAGTGATAGGGCTGAACTGAGTCATCCAGTCCACCCCAAGCACTATGTCCCATCCACTTAGATCCATCACTTTGAGGTCATAACAGAACCTATGCTGATTAATTCCCCATACCACCTTAGGACATATGGCCTTGCTGGTTACACAAGCCCCATTCCCAAAAACCACAGAAAAAGGATTGACTAATTTATAAGGAATATCAAAGGCAATTACCTTCTCACTGCTTATGTAACTATCAGAACTGCCTGTGTCTACCAGTATCAGCATCTCTTCCCCATCTAGTCTTCCTACCAGTGTGATTGTTTTTCGTTTAAGTGCCTCGGACAGTGTGTGTAAGGACATCTCCATGATCTGCCCTGGATTCCCTGTGGTTTCATCCTGCTCTCCCAGTGCATCTTCGAATTCAGATTCTTCTCCCTCATCATTGATCAGGAAGTTCAGATGGCCCAGTTTGCATTGATGTCCCTGCCCAAACTTCTCTCCACACTTGAAGCATAGGCCATGGTTCCTTCTATATTGTATTTCTTGTGCTGAAATTCTTCTAGGTTCTGCTTCAGTAGTTGAAACAGGTCTACCTTTGAAATGAGTATTTCTGAATGAACTAATAGGGGATACTTTGTAGTGTGAAATGTGGTTCAACTGCTGAGATGAACTTTTAGAGATTCCAAACCTGTTCTCTGAGGTAGTCCTTACATTTTCCTTAGAATTTCTGGACTGTAAGTTTGTGACGACCCCACCTCCCCCTAAGGCGAACCAAAGGGTTCGACAGACCGCCTGCCCAACTCTCGCCGGGACTCACTACAATCTTCAAGTAAATAACAAATTAAACTCCAATATCACATGAAATACTCCACTAAAACATTCATGTACTCTAAAATATAAAAGAACGATTCATGCTTAAATATTACATCCAAGATTTTCAATGTACTTTTACAATACCGAAAGCCCAAAATAATCATAAGTTTTATACTATGGAGTCCCAGAATTAAAGATAACGACTAGTTCTACCCAAAGGGATTGTCACTAATTAAGCCTCAGAACTTCCACTTCCAAACCTGTTAAGGAAAACAAATTGGGGTGAGTAAACGCTCAGGGAGGCCAAGGGAAAAACATGCAAGCATGCGAGCAAAGACACAATATAAAGCAATAACTTGAGTAACAAGTAAATTCGAAACATTTAGCAAGTAAGGAATTTAATCACAATTAAAAAGATACGGGAGCTCTCAGGAGCTAATCCACGCGCGATCCAAGCTCAGGTAGTTGACCCTCCGTCAACTTTCACAGTTATCCATGTAGAACTCCACTTACTACCTCCAGCCACCATGACACCCTCTTGGATCCGTAACCAAACAAGCATGTAGGTGGTATCACTTAACAAGTATACCTAGCAAGACCCCTTATTTGGATCAAGCTATAACACTGCCCAAGGTTCACCAAGTTTCTCGACCAAACCCTTGCCGGCTCGAGTTACAAGGCTAGCCAATGGGTTGGGGCGTCCCCCCCCCCATTCACTTTTGGGTCGATGAGACGAAGCTCCAATCGACAAGATTTGGTCATAGCATTGAGATGGGATGAGCGGTACCTCCCACCCTAAAAGGGCGTGATACATTCTGCCGCTCAATGCTCACGGAAAACACTTTCATTTACATTCACATATAAAACTTATCACTTATCAAGCAAGTAATTTCATGAAAGAGAGGACAAGGGCGGTAAAGTACACCCTACCCTCATTAACTAGCAAGTACGAGAAACATTTCATTTAAACACTTAACATGCACTTGACACTCACCAAAAGTCATGAGAGAGAAAAAGTTAAGCGGCTAAACGGGTTCTTCGGAGTCCTCGTATTCACCTGAGACATGTATAATCACGATCATTCACGTGCATATTCAAGGCCAAGCAAAAATATCAAGTCGTTTTCATGTTTATTGTAAAAATCAGGAAACTGGAGGTTTATGGTAGAAATCTTTAGAAAATCGTAACTTAATATTTACGAGTCCAAAATTTGCATAGTTGATACCGTTGGAAACCTAATTGAAAGGACTAAAACTTTGTAGAAGACACCTTGATGAGATTCCATACGGATTTTGCCCAGTGTTTCCGTCAATAGACTGCTACAGTAAAATGCAGGGCAGGTAAAATTCCATTTTTCCAACGAACTTTAAAAAAACACCAAAAATCACAGAAAATGAGTTAGCTCCTGAAATTTACATGGTTTGTAACCTTATGTGTCTAGTTTAAAAAAAAAAACAGATGGGACTCGATTTGGAGTGGTATACATGAAAATATAACTTTTTTTTTTCCGAAACTGGTCTGATATTCCAGAAAGCAGATTTCCAGTTTTCACTTTAGCAAGTTCACTCCTTTTTTTTCCTTTGAAGAGCCAATCGGTTTAATCAACCCAAATACACTTAAAATCCATTATTTTGGCACAACTTTAACTCAAATAAAAGCTCCAAAAATCTGAAATTTTGTCCCAAAAATTTCGGCCAACATGAAAGATTCAAAACAAAAATTTTTCCTCTTGCTATACTTAAACACACACAAGTTCATCTATCCAAATTAAGGAATATCTGGCAATAATTAACAAGCCAAACATGTAATAAAGCAAGATTTATCACATATATGCATCTAAAGCTCAATATACCTCCAGACCTCTACCTATCATCAAGCCAAAAACAAGAAAGCAATTAAAATCCTCAAGCTAGTCACCCCGAACAAATGCTCAAGGGGTTCAGCCACAATAATCACAATAATCACCTCAAACCAAGCGTCCAGTAACCACATTGACCACATAAACACATTCGTAAATAGGTCACTCAAATAGTGAAAAGTCACATGTCCTTTGGCGAGTGTGATAACGTACACACTCACCTAATAAGAAAGTACAGTTCGTAAATCCATTTACCAAATCCTTTTAGGAATTTAAGCACAACTCGAGCTACACTTATCGGATTGAAACAAAAAATATACCGTTTCGAAGCTAAGACATAGATCTACCATTCTTGTGAAGACATCTCAACCCAGTTCTCACCCTAACTAGATCAAATTTACCGAAATAGCCCAAGTTTCTTGGTTCAATTCTCACTGACACAATTACTGATAGTCCTGATTCAGTTAATCTTAACTCAGCACACACAACTCCGATTCAGGTGATTCCAAAGCCATTTCAAAGCTAAGATACAAGGCTACAATTCTTAAGAAGACATTGACAACCAATTCAGTAATATTCCCGGTCAAACTAACCAATTACAGAGGCTGATTATCATTTCTGATAGAAACAGGGTAGCAGGGGCAATTTTGTCATTTCACAGGATACCCAGCTCCGATTGAGCTGAAACTTTACAGGCATAATTTAAACTCAATTCTCTACAACTTTCATGTTATGTGCTAAGGCTAATTGAGCCCCAAACATTTTCGAATAATCACAGAAATTTCGGACCGTACTCTCATTTGAAATTTCCAGGTTTGAAACCTTCTTTTGGAACCATTTTGCAACGCCATTTGAAGGGGTTTTTTTTTTTTTTTTGTAAGAGAAAATGACAGCTTAAAGCTTAAATTTTTAGCTCCCAAATCAATCTTTAAATTTGTGAAAACACAGCCAAGAAAAATAGAGAAAACAGAAACCATTTTGGTCCCCCCTCTCTCTCTCTCCCCCTCTTTCTCCCGATTTCTGTTAAGGTTCTTCCCTTCCAAAGTTCAAGCCACAACTCCAAATATTCACACATATACCAATCAAAAATCATGCTAGCAACAAAGATCATCCATTTGTGGGAATCCCAAGAGCCCGTACATTAACCAAATCCAACAAGAATTCAACCCAATGAAGTTTCAAGATTCACTCTTCAAGAGATAACATGAAAGCTCTAGCTTTTGGGTTAGAGAACTACCTCAGGTTCTAACTGATTTTCCCAAGGCTAGGATGTCCAATCTTCACCACGAAGAGATCTCTTTCCTTCTCCAAGAATCTGGCCAGCCACCACAAAGAGCTCCTCTCGGTTTCTCCCTCTCATTCTCTCGGCTAGAACAACAAAAAAAAAAAAAGGAGATGGAGTGAAGCTAGAAGTTGGTTGGTCATGGAGTTTGAGTTGAGGAAGAAGAAGATAGAGCTTTGGCTGGAAAGAGGGAGAGAGTGTGTGAGGGTGGTCGGCTGATAAGGGAAGAAGAAAAGGAATTAAAGGTTTGAAAAATTGATAGCATTATATTGGGAAGAGAAGGATAGGACTTAAAGCCCTATTTTAAGGATCATGTCCCATCTTACATATTAATGTCTTAAGAGTAAATTTAGTGGGGATGAAAGTGATTATCTTGGCTAATGAGGGAGGGGGATTCTCGACTATAATAAGGAAGAAAGGAAAAGAAATTGAAGTGAATTGGAGGAAATTAAATGGAAGAAACAATGGCAAGATTAAAACTTAGTTTTAGCGGAAATTGTCCAACTTTGACCAATGCTTATGTTCCACTTAAATTTGTCCACTACACTTTTCTTATCTATCTTAGTTCTATCTCATTTATAATTCTTTAAAAGCTACTCATAGACTAATCTTTCACCAAAGTTAAATTCCTCGACACGGCTCAAAAACTAAACTTAGCACTAGTCGGTCAAACATTTGAATTTTGTTCGAATGAAAATCATTTAATTATGAAAATGTGAACTATGCACATAAAGATCATGTAATTTTATATAAATACATAATATAGTTATTTTCACATTTATTATTTAACTTTTCAAAAAATATATATATAAAATAAATAAAACAATAAAATAAATAAATGAAATAGTAATAATAATAATAATATTAAAATAATAAATTTTGAGGCCCTCATATCCTTCCCTCCTTAAAATAATTTCGTCCTCGAAATTTACTTTGTTTTTTCTCGACTAAATCAAATGACTCAATCATGTAGTTCAAAACTCGAGTACAAAGATATATTTTCTATAAAAGGTTTCACTCACCAAATGGTTGTACTCAAATTGTCCAAAATTATTTACTAGTATTCGATTTTCAAAATTAACAATTTTAGAAATGATCCAGTTTCTTTTGTCCCAAAACGGCCAACTGAAAATCTTATTTGTTCGAGGAAAGCTTTTTCACGTACCTTTCGTAACCAAACTAATAACAGGATATCAAATACACATTTGGAAAAATTGTGGTCTATATATATATAAATAAAATGGCTATTCGAATGGAAGACAAGAAGAAAAGAAATTGGTTCTGATCTTGATAGTCAAAATTTCTAAATGCATTCGACTTTTGGTAAGAAGTTTAACATTTGTTATTTGGACGTTTGATCAAGAAAAATCATTTAACCCCACAAATCACTTTTGAGAATAAAATGCTTTTAAGAAAATAAGCAGACATGCAGGTTCATATTTACTTAAACTTCGGTCCAACGCCTCTACTCTTCACACCTAATCTGAGAATTAGCTTTTATGCCACATAAAACTTAACTATTTACTCTCCAATTCACGACCAATATTCATTCTTATTTCTAAGAAAAGGTCCAAACCCAAACTCTGCCTGATTTTCAATTTTTATGCGAGTTCAGAGTATATACATTTGTATAAATATTTTTTTTTTTGTAAAAAGGAACAACAAGTAATTGGATATATACACAGTAATGGTTAAGCAAAAATT